TCCAACCTTGATGATTCTATGACTATGTACCTCAATTAGAAATCCTTTGAGAGAGTAGAATTCCTTTTCACATGCTTTTTGTCATCTCCTTTTAGGAGGAAGATGAAAAGCCAAAGCAGACATTTGAGGTTTTTGAAGAATGCATTATTAGCTGTTGTAACTGAACATTTGAAATGCATTCACTGCCTTTGTGAAAGAAAAAATCAGGCACTACTCAATGTGTTCTGTATGACATGAAATTAGCACTTTGCTTATTTTACCTCTGGGCAGAAAAAAAACCAACCCTGTCTTTATCTGTGGTGTCTTTCCTCCTGGTGTACTGCTATTAGCAATAATATTTTCTGTGCAAACTGCATTATGATATGCATGGTTTTGGCTTTGTATTTCAGGCCAATTTTAAGGAATCTTACATGGCTACATTTTATGACTATTTCAATGAGCAGAAATACGCAGATGCAGTAAAAAATGTAAGTAATGCATGGGAATGTTCTGAAAATCCTGCTGTGTTTTTGAACTGAAGCTGAAAATCCTTGAATTTAACACATACTTTTAGTAAACCAGGAAATATGTGCTGGAAAAAGCAGGTTCCTGATAACTGGTCAAGGAACTTTTGTCAAATTATATGTGTGTCAATAGGATAAAAATCTCCTTGGATCTATCTCTGCTTAATAAGCTGGATCAACAAGCTGCTGCTTAGAGCTTGAGGTGTGTGTGCTTTGTAGCTTGCTGCAGATCCTTGATGAAACTTGCTTAGTCCAAAAGAAAGTGAAAGATATGTTTAACAAAGAAGCACAACAAGTGTTGGTCATCTGCAGTTTTTCTGCTTAAGAACATTTGTGCTATTTTTAATTTACCATCCAGGAAACGTCCCAAATTCCTCAAGCTTTTCCCATTATCTTCTGTTTCACTGCTTTTACACTGTTTTCTTGTAGCTCTGTGCTGTCCAGATGTTAGATTTGAATTGGGGTGGTGTGGTCCTGGTTGTTTTTATATCTGCTTTTTGTTCACCTTTTAGTTTCTAGATCTGATTTCATCTTCAGGAAGAAGAGACCACAAGAGCATAGAGCAACCTATATTGCTTAAGGAAGGGTAAGTATTCATGTGCAACAAAACCCTCTCCTTGTGTGTTTGCTACCCTTCTAAGGCAGCTCTCTGTTTTTCTGCCACCTCCATTCCATCCATGCATTCAGAGAAGAATGTAGGAAAATCCTTGTGTTGCTATTTTTACCTTCTGTGGCTGCTATAGCTGTTTTGAACATATTTTCATTTGATTTAAACATGTTCATTTAAGTGTGTTTTGAAATAAGTGGAGGGAAGAGAAGCCTGGAGAACTTAATTGGCTCAGTTGAAGCAAAATAAACTTAAATCAGCATTATATTAAAATCCAGTTGGCTTTTTTTCCCTGAACTCCAGTGAACAAAAGCTGTCTGAAGACAGACACTGAATATCTTACTGAGGGCAGAGCCTGCAAATGGAACTTGCTCCTGCTGCCCTATAACATCCATATGCTAATCATTATCATGGCCATTTCAAGGCACGTTTGAGATGCACTTGGAACAGTTTCTAGCTGCAGTACCTTTCCTTTTTTGGGAAGCATCTTCCATATGCTGTGTTAGTTTTAGATACCAATTGTTGACAATTTTGGGGTTGCAAAACTGAGTTGCTAAGATCATCTGAATGCACTGTGGACACAGCTGCTTTGAGCTGGGAGGAAGAAAGTAAAAACATCTAAGTCCTTGTCAGAGCCCAGCAAGCTGAAATGCTACTTGATAGTTAAGGTTTGATGATCACTTTAAGTAATGTAAAACATGTTTTTGGTGAAAGCATGACTTGCTCCTTCCAGTTAGCCTTGACAATTCACTTCTCTGTCCCTAGAAGATATTTTCATAGAATCAGAGGATTTTAGGGGTTGGAATGGACCTCACAGATCATATAGTCCCAACCCCCTGCCCTGGGCAGAGACACCTCCTCACTAGATCAGGTTGCTCAAGGCTTCATCCAACCTGCCCTTGAATACTGCCAGGGTTGGCGCAGCCACCACGTCCCTAGGCAGCCTGTTCTAGTGTCTCACCACTCTCATAGCAAAAACTTTTTTCTAATATCTAACTATTTTCTCTGGTTTAATTCTGTACATTTACCATTCTTTTGTTTTTCAAAATGAATGTATAGTTTGTAACATTTTTCCCTCTAACTCTAAAACATTTTTTTTCTGCCTCTGTCTTTCTTTTGCTCCTGTCTGATTTTTTTCTGTCTTTTCTTGCTCGGCCTGTGGCTGCTGTTGTAAGGACTCTTAAACTAACAGTAAAGAAAGTTGATGGTAATAGTTCATGCAGGTAAGATGGTAGAGGCAGTTGCTGCTTTGCTGTAGCTACTGGCTGACAGCATGTCCTTTGCAGCAGTAGACTGGCCTGACTTAACTCTGGGGAGGAAGAACTCTGTTTAACCATCCTGAAATGCCTGTGTAAACCCAGCAGAGAACATTTTGTTATCTATTTCTTGATGTTAACTGGTTTTTTTGCTTCTTAAAACAAAAACCTACTGTAAACAGAGAATAAAGGACATTTCTCTGTAGGCAGAGGCTCCCAGAAGCTCTGTGTTGATCCTGAGGAACTCAATGGAAATGATTGAGAAGGGTCCATATGTTTTCTAGGCACTTCTTAAGTAGTATCCATGTAAATTATTCTCAAGGTTAAGGACTGGCCTTCAACACTCTATTTTTCTGACATTTTGCATTATTGCCCTGCAATACCTTAGGAAATGGGTGGGATTTTTCACAGCCTTTGATTTGATTCTTCTCCTGATTGTTCAGTGAGGTTTCTGTTTCCCTTGGCTATGATTTTCCTTGCTTTTAGTGGTTTTAATCCATCTTTGCTTCTGTTAGGAGCATCTAGATGGAAAGATATAGCTCATGTACTTCTGATTGAGGGAAAGCTATAGTTCACATACTCCTGAATGAATGTACATTAGCAAAGATTAGTCATTGGTACTTGGGATTGCTGGCACCAATAATGCTGCTTAACAGCTTCCTGCCTGGGTCTTTCCAAAAGGAAGAGAATGAAAAGGAGAACTAGTCATTTTTGTAGGTGAAAAGGGCATGTTGATGCTTCCAAGCAAGGCTAAGGCAGACCCAGACTCAGGTCTGTCATAAATATGAAACAAACAGCATCTCCAACCACCCTGTACTGAAATGAGTTTCATATTAGACTTTTTTCCCCTTTTTGCCTCTATTTTCCCTGACTTCTTACACATTCTGCAATGGTTAGAAGCAAAGAAATCAGCCTTCTAACTTCTGTGGCTTTGAAGGCTTATCACCTATCTCTAGGAAATAAAAGCACATTCTTTTCTTGGCTGTGTCAGCTAGGAAGAATTGAATTAGAAATGTGCTCTTAGCTCTGCACATGGAGTTTGCATTTTTCAAAGGGGGAACTCTGTAGGAGTTTTCATTTTCAAGTCATCTTTTAAGTGCTGGCATGAGAAAGAAGAGAAACTAACTTGAAGAGCATTTTGTTCAGCCCAAAGATGTCCTTCTGCCCTTCCTTTGAAATTTGCCTTAACCTGAAAATAAGAGGCCTAGTGATGACCTGAATCACATTGGTTAATTAACTATTTCTCAAGTGTTCCAAGAATAAGGACCGAGGCAGGATCTGCCTGTCCATTTTCAGAATGAGAGGTGTGCAACTGTCGTTATCAGCCTTTGCCCACACAACTGGGAATGAGCAGCAGGCACCAGCCCAGCTGGTTACAAAGCAGTTAAAGCCTGAAGGAACTCGGGTTTCTATTTGAGCTTTAAGCAGACCTGTGGTTTGAGTGGATGTAGTGTAGTTTTTTCTTACTGAATATACCAGTAGTGAGAAACAGTATTAGCTGTTCTAAGCATTTTAGCTCTGCTGTCAAAAACCATGGAACCATCAAGGTTGGAGGAAACCTCTAAGATCATCCAGTCCAACCATTAACCTGTCACTGCTGGAACCCCTAAACCCTAAACCAGATCCTCCAGCACCAGATCCAGATGCCTCTTCAACACTTCCAGGGATGGTGACTCTACCACCTCCTTGGGCAATATTCCAATGCCTGAAATTGCTGATTGCCTTGTATTGGTTGGGAAGTGTGGGACTGTTGTGCCAAGTTCTTGCCTTCATTTGGGACAATCTTTCCTTGAAAAGGTCAGGGCTAGCAGTGAAGTTGGAGATGTGCTCAGCAGCCGTTCCTGCAGAGAAGCATTTTCAGGGAAAGCATTTCCAGCAGCAGCAGGGGGTGGGGTGGAAATCACAGGGCAAGTGAAATCCCTCCTATTGTACATATGTTAGCTTTAAAGAGTGGGTGACCCCTGCTGAGTCTCTTGGCACCGACAGCCAGGCCAGTGAGGACATCACCAGATGGGTTCATTACCAAGGCAACAGGCCAAGATGACATTCCTAAATCTTCTAAATCTGCAACCAAGTCACTTGCTGTTCTCTCTTTGTGCTCTTTGCGCTGTGTAGTGCCATCCTACTTGATAAAAACTACTCTAGGAAGTAGTTTTTACTCACTCCATGATGCAGTTCTGTATTTGGCACAGTAGTTAATGTCATGTGTAGAGTAGCTGTTACCAGCTCTCTACAGCATACACGTTCTGATCCACCAGAAGTGGTGCTGAGCAGTGTGAAGTCACTAGACTTTCCAAAGTTACCCTGAAGCTTTTGGATTGATTCAGTGGTTAGGATGGTGGTGGTTGCATCACAGTTTCTTGTCAACTCTTTCAAGTTTGAAATGAATTAAAATTGACAGCTGACTGTATGAACATCCCTCATCTGCCCAAAAAAAAAAAAAAAGGGTGGGGGGAGGTCCTAACTTTCAGTCCTCAGATTGCTTTGTATGTTATTGGAAAAGCAGCATCAGTGTACAATGGCAAGTGAAGCTATGGAACATCCTGATTTTGTTTCTAGAGCTTGAGAGTGATTAAAGCATGTGAGGGTACAGCCCCTGTGCTCCAGAGGCTTCACACCTGCCTTTTAGTTATTAAACATACTCTAAACCTTTTGAGCTTTCTCACAGCTTTAAAAAAATGAAGCTTATAGAGTCAACAGGTCAAGCTTAGCAGAGCAGTACTAACTGTGTTCTGCCTCTTTTTTCTGCTGTGCTAGGAAACCATTTAGCTGGGTTTGTAACTGGAAAGGGCACAAACTGCAGCTCAGCTAACTAACTAGAGCCCCTGTGTAGACTACAAGTCAAGTTGCATGTCTTGCCCCTCATCTGGGTCTGGAAAAAGGACAGACTTAACTAATAGATGCACTAAACCTATCCAAATGTGACTCCTTTCCTTGCCAAGATACGTCCTCAATAGCTAGAAAACAGTGTCCCCTCCTAGAGCTTTGCAAGTGCCATAACATGTCTGTATATATACATGTATATATGTACAAATCTATATACATGAACACATATTCTATAGGTGTGCATATATTTATGTGCATGTAGATATGAAGTCTGGTGTATTGTAACAACTGTTGTCCTGTTCACTAGGTTCATGATCAAGAGAGCACAAGGAAGGAAACGATTCGGTATGAAGAACTTCAAGAAGAGATGGTTTCGCCTGACAAACCATGAGTTTACCTATCAGAAAAGCAAAGGTAATAAAGGTTTGCCAGTCTTCGTTTGATGGATGAAAGCTGAGATTAAACATAAGTATTGTGTAGGAACAGAAGACTGACATCTAGGTCTGTAGCTGTAGAATGCACAGTGCAGGCAAGTCTGTCAGCCTGGGTGTTTTTGGCCTTTTTAGTATGCCTGTGTTGGCTGTTAGAAAAGCTTCTTGGCTAGCACAGTACCCTGTGTGTTAGCAGAGTATTTGATAACTCATATTTGTCTTATATCAGTTATCAACATCATCTGAAGGTTTCACAGTTCCTTAGGAAGCAAAACTCACAAACCTTATGCTGGATTTGGGTTTGTATTGAACGTTCTCAGATGCATCTCAACTTGTTCTCATGAATTCTGTGGCACTGGCACAGCTGGATAGGCAGTAGACAGGAGTTTACCTGCAACCTTTCAACTTTCAAAATGTCTTCATATTGCCTGCTAGCAAGGATTCTGCTTTTTGTGATTTGTTCTTGTCTGTCCAGTAGAACACAACAAATACCATTTCCTTCCATCCTGTAAGTACACAGAGAGTGAGAAAGATAAGGAAATATGTTCAGATCATGCCAGTCATCATTTCACACTCAACTCGAGTCACCACCATCAACCTAGTTCAGTTCAGCTGACAGGAATTACTTCTTTCATTGCTACCTTCTCGGTTAATATCCTGTGTCCTGCTGCAGCAGTCAGTTTGTGAGAGGTTTGCTGGTGTCCTTACACACATGACCTTTCATGCAGCTGAGAACAGAAATGAATTTAAGACAGTACTTAAGGACCATGCTTAGAAATCCCTGCTGAGTGAAAGATTTTCTGCTTTTCTTGTGCAGTCAAAATGATCTTCAAAGGAACTGAATCAGCCCTTAGAATAAGGGCAGAGGGTGAACTCGAGTTGTGGATAAGTTGCTCATTATCTGTGTGTGTGTGTGTGTTCTGCAGGTGATCACCCTCTGTGCAGCATTCCAATTGAAAACATTCTGGCAGTGGAAAGACTGGAGGAGGAATCCTTTAAAATGAAAAATGTAAGTAGGTCATCTTCATGAATGCATTTGTTGAGGCTGGTCTAGATCCACCAGCCTAATTGCCTTTTTCCCTTCGGTAACCTGGATTGGATTTCTATTGAGAGATGTACAACCACAGCTGCTTGTTCTGTATATAGTAGCAGGAGTTTCCAAAAGTACAGCCCATTCAGATTCTTAACAGCCCAGTCAGCAGTCTTTGGATGTCTGATCTGCAGCACACTCAGTACTGACTGCTGCTGATCAGCTGTTTGGGCTCTGTCCTGTCACCACAGGTAAGACGATCGAGTCCCTGCCCTTTCTGTCAGACCTCTCTGTTGGGAAGGATCTGGCTGCTTATAATTGGGAAAGATCACAACTTCTTTCTTTAGCTATCAGCTTTCTTGACTGGTTAATGAAAGTGCATATTTATATTTGGATGCCAAAATAGTCTCTGTGCTGTGCTAGTGTGGTTTGCCATTTTGCTGGCCACATTAGGTAATAAAGTCCAGCTGTGTTTCTTGTGCATGGAACAGTACTGCCAACTTCTGTATGTGAGACATACCATCCATTGTGTGAGAACAGATCACGGAACCATAGAATCAACAGGGTTGGAAAAGACCTCTAAGATCATTGAGTCCAACCCTATCGTGGTTACTAGTCCATGGCACTAAGTGCCACATCCAGTCTCAGATTGAAAACCTCCAGGGATGGGGAATCCACCACCTCCCTGGGCAGCACATTCCAATGCCTGATCACTCTCTCCACAAAAAATCTCTTCCTCATATCCAACCTAACCCTCCCCTGGCAGAGCTTGAGTCTGTGCCCTCTTGTCCTGCTGCTGGTTGCCTGGGAGAAGAGACCAACCCCCACCTGACTCCAACCTCCTGTCAGGGAGTTGTAGAGGGTGAGAAGGTCTCCCCTGAGCCTCCTCTTCTCCAGGCTGAACACCCCCAGCTCCCTCAGCCTCTCCTCATAGCACTTACACTTGATCAGCTTAAGTGGTGTTGGGAGCCTTTTTCATACCCTTCTGCCTGTAAAGCTGAGAATAGTCCTTAAAAAATTGCATTTAAACGAAGAAACAACTCCGTATTTTCCAGTTTTAAACATTCTTCTACAACAGACTTCTTTATACACATAAGTGGTTGTGTCTTCCAGCTTTTTTGCCTTCAATGAGGGCACCATGCAGGGCAGTGTTCAAACCTGCCCTAGATATTAAGTTCCTCCAACTGCTATTTGTTAAAGTGAAATACAATGCTAAACTCCTCAGTATTTTCCCAGTTTAAGGTATTATTTTAGTTGCATATTTGTCTCTGTTAAAATATGGAATAGGTTTCAGTTCCTCTTGCTTCTAGAACACATCTCAGTTATCCTGTGGTTTGCTCTGGTGTTTATAGCTCAGCTACATAGGCAAAACCCAACCAAGCTGCAAAATACCTCCCAAGCTATCAGAAGGCAGATGTAACTTGTGACAAACTGCTGCCAACTGTAGTCTGGAAAATAACTTGGTTGAACTAAAAGAAGCCACACGGGTGAGATAAAACTCACAAAGCTGATAAGAAAAGTTGCTAAGAGCACTGGAACATCTCCCCTGTGAGGACAGGCTGAGGGAGTTAGGTCTGTTCAGCCTGGAGAAGAGAAGGTTGTGTGGAGACCTCAGAGCAACTTTTCAATATCTGAAGGGCCTACAAGGAACCAGAGAGGGACTCTGTGTTAGGAACTGCAATAACAGGACAAGGGGTAATGGGTTCAAACTGAAGGAGGGAAAGTTTAGGTTAGATGTGAGAAAAAAGTTTTTTACTCTGAAGTTGGTAAGACACTGTCCCAGGTTGCCCAGGGAGGCTGTGGCTGCCCCGACCCTGGCAGTGTTCAAGGTCAGGCTGGATGAGCCTTGAGCAACCTGATCTAGTGAGGAGGTGTCCCTGCCCAGGGCAGGGGGTTGGGACTAGATGATGTGTAAGGTCCATTCCAACCCTTATATTCTATGATTCTTTGAAAACTTCCTGTTTGTGGAGAGGAGCTGAGCTGTAATTCTGATCCACTCCAGTGACAGCAGTCACTTAGGCTGAGTCTACTGAGCTAGGCTGAGCTTCCAAAATATCCCTTTATTGGGGAGGTATGCTGTAGGAAAAATATTGTTAACATCAGAAACTGTGCTATTTTGATTGCCTCAATTCAGTATTACCTAGGAGTTGAAGGTGACTACATCCTTTCTGGAAAGGAAGGTTCAGAGTCTTTCCGTAAGCAGTAGAAAATACCAGTACCACCTTCTTGTGCTAATATATTCCCTTTTCTTTCTTGCCATACATAAATAGAATGTTGCAGCAAGAACAGAACTCTCAGAACACCACAGCAGATGTATTTGCAATGGATATCCCATCATGGGTGCTAAGTGTGATAAAAGATCCACATTTTCTATAAATATTCTCTGTATCTGTGCTCGGAATTGCACCAAGTGTGTGTGTCTTAACTGCTGCTAAATCTGCCTGTCTGGCAGTAAGGCCAGTAGCCTTCATCATTCTCAAGCACTGTTTGGGGGATGTGGGGGTGGCTTTAAGTACTGTTTGAGTCTTCTGTGTTGTTTGAGTGGCAACTGGTGGTTTTGGTGTAGTGTAAAGGTCTTGCAACCACTTGAAATTCCTGGCTTAGTTGTGGGCTTCTCCCTAACAGTTGCCATGTGTTAGTTCACTTTGGTTGGTATTCCCTTACACAAAGCCACACTCCTCAAATCTGTTCCTTTGTTGCAATGCAGGAGGCTCCATTTACCCCAGCAGGACCTTAACATTCTTTTCCTTGTGGTTCTGTGTTAATAGAGGGTTGAGCTGCACACTCCTGTCTTCCTTGTTCTTCCTTCCTTCCCTGTTTCCCAGACTCAGGTTGACTTTCCTGAACAGTTTTATTTACTATTTCTTTGATGTGCAGTTTGGCAGTGCTGGACTGATCACACTAAGCAGCTCCTCCACTGCCTGTTGTGTGTTGTGCCTTATGATTGTGCCTCTAATAATGTCTGACATCTGTCAGGATACTACATCCAGGGTAATCATAGAATTTTAGGGGTTGGAATGGACCTTAGAGACCATCCAGCCCCAACCCCCTGCCCTGGGCAGGGACACCTCCCACCACACCAGGTTGCTCAAGGCTCATCCAACCTGGCTGTGAACACTGCCAGGGTTGGGGCAGCCACAGCCTCCCTGGGCAACCTGGGCCAGTGTCTCACCACCTTAAATAGGTATTAAAAGGGCTAAAGAGGTGGTAGTATGAAAGCAAAATTGTCACTGAGGCTGGATCCAGACTCTCCTTTCTCCTTTCTACCTTCTGATGACTAGCATTTCCTTTCAGGCCTGTGTTGGGTTCCTCTGTCAGCCTTCCAAAGCTTGGAGCTGCAGCACTCCTAGAATTGCATCCCAAGTATGACAACAAATCTTGTTGAGGCCCAACCAGCAAACTGATATTAGCTGTTTATAAATCATCTCCTGCAGGAATGGTATCTTACTCCTTGTGCCAGGTGAAAGGTCTTGTTCTTTTCAGGGCACATTTGCTGCTTCATTTTGTGTTGAAATGTGTTTATTGCTGTATTTCTTTTAGGATGCTGTGGTTTTCCTTTTAATAAATCATAGAATCACATAATTTTATGGGTTGGACTGGACCCTATAGATATCTAGTCCCAACCCCCTGCCCTGGGCATGAACACCTCCCCACAAGACCAGGTTGCTCAAGGCTTCATCCAACCTGGCTTTAATTAATCATCACTGTGAGTTCAGTCTGAGGTTCACTGACTCATTCTTGTGCTTTGTTCTGTGGCTTATTTCCAGATGTTCCAGGTGATCCAGCCTGAAAGAAGAGTCCTGTATATCCAAGCTAATAACTGTGTGGAGGCCAAGGACTGGATTGACATCCTCACCAAAGTTAGCCAGTGCAACAAGAAGCGTCTCACGGTCTACCATCCCTCTGCCTATCTTAATGGCCACTGGCTTTGCTGTAAAGCTACTGCAGATAATACTCCTGGCTGCACACCCTGCACAGGGTGAGGATTGGGAATGCTGTTGGTCTAGGGGTTGCCATGGGTGTGTGTGTCCCTGCAGTGTGACTTGCAGGTGCATGGTGACCAAGAAGATCTGCCAAGTCCAGCAAAATTGTGATGGCTTCAAAGGCCAGGCTTGATTGTTAGTTCTGGTACTGTCACTGTCTGCATGTCTTGGTCACAATGTAAGACATGTTTAGAGCTCAAGAGGCTGATAGGAGTTGACTGTGGGATAAGACACCTTGGTTCTGATCATCTGTCAGAAATACCTTCAGTGTCCTGTTTGCAAATTCCTGAAGCAATAACCTGCTGATAGATTTCATTCTAAACTATCTTTTTCTAAGGAAGCCACTCATGCTCTCTATTTAATTAGCATGCACTGTCTGATTTCTAGGAAGCAATTTTCATCGATACTGAGACAAGTGGCAAGTCTGTAGTGGTAGTTACACTCAGAATACAAGACCTGGATGGTTGGAAGTTCAGTGCTTTGGCTCCTCCATCTGGTTACAGCACACTAAGTCACTCAGATCTCTGAGTACTGATACAGTCTTCTCTTTCAAGTCAGAGTGTAACATAATTGATAAAGAGAGGCATAATGAACTTTGAATTTCTCTATCTTTTCCTTTCATAGAACCATAGACTTCTAAGGGCTGGAATGGACCTTAGAGATCATCCAGCCCCAACCCCCTGCCCTGGGCAGGGACACCTCCCACCAGAACAGGTTGCTCAAGGCTTCATCCAACCTGGCTGTGAACACTGCCAGGGTTGGGGCAGCCACAGCCTCCCTGGGCAACCTGTGCCAGTGTCTCACCACCCTCACAGGGAAAACTTCTTCCTAGTATCTAGTCTAAATTTCCTCTCTTTCAATTTGTACCCATATTTTTGGGAAAACCAGAAGTTTGAACTCTATTACACACAGTCCATTGGTTTTTATGGGTAGTCACTTTTCCTTTCATCCTTGTAAAGTGCTTTTTTTGTGCCATAGTGCACTGTTCAGCAAATAACTTCTCTTCCTGATGCCTTGCAGAGGTCTGCCAGCAAATATACAACTGGATATAGATGGAGACAGAGAAACTGAGCGCATCTACTCTCTTTTCAACTTGTATATGCCAAAATTGGAAAAAATGCAAGGTGAGGATGAAAGATCATTGCATCATTTGCATCTCCAATACACTTCCCGAGGCAAAAATACCTGTGAAAAGTTGAAACTTTAAGCTAGACCAGCCTTGCAAATCACACCCCAAGACTGAGTGGCTATTATTCCACTTGTTTCCCTTTCTGCTGTCTTGAGGCAGTTGTGTGAATTATTTTGGGTACTGTCTCATAGTCTGTAAAAAGTTCTTTGCATAATAACAGTTGTTTGAAGTGCAGGCCTTAACCACATCAGCCTGAAATAGCACAGGCACAGAGCATTGCTTGGATGCTCTGAATTGGCAAATCAGAGCCAGGACTGAACCAGAGGTTTACTGATCCCGACAAGAAGCACCATCAAAGTTGAGGTTTCAGTGGAATATGGTTTTGTGTTACCAGAGGTCATGTGCACATTCCCTGGTTCAGATCCCAAGAACAGGCTGGACACAAATGGTATCTTCAGGAAAGCTCCTTTAGAATTACCAATCAAGAGTGTCCTGTGGATGTCTGTGAAGTGTTGGAGAGTGGAGTTTTGGCTGGGGAAACCCTCAGGACCTGAGGAGAGCAGAGATGTGATGTAAAGGATAAAAAAGAAAGAAGAGACAGCAGAGGAAGTTGGTACTAGTAGACATGCCAAGGAAAGTATCCGGTGTACACAGTGCCAGACTTGAAATCCCAGTTTAGCCCAGGGAGTGGTGGGGAAGCCTTCACTAGGGCACTGATCTTTAAATAGGACTTGATTTTATAATATGAGATAAGCCAGTGGTGTCAAACACACAGGTTGGAAAGCACTTTAATCTGTTCCTGGCTGCAGTTGCAAACTTTAGATCCCCAGCACTTCCGAGCTGTCTGAACCAGTGCCCAGCTTCCCCCTGCTCCCAGTCCTCACTGCCAGCCCCAGCATCGAGTGTCATGCTGGGGAAAAGGACACAGCTCTGGCACAGAGGGCAGCGAGGGGAAGGGAATCTGAAAGCTGAGCCTGACAGCAGTGAAGCTAGGGAAAAGGAGGGACAGTGTAAAATATTCTCTGTCCCCTTCTAATGCACTCGGCTGCAGGGGCAGATCACATGAGGGATATGTTACCAATGTTCACATGTAGTCAGTGTCTGGATTTCTTAGCAGGGAAGGATTCCTTGTAAGAGCAGAAGGTGGTATAACATGCCCCTTTGGATATGTCAATATCAGAATCACCAAGGTTGGAGGAGACTACTGAGATCATTGAGTCCA